TGTTGCGGTGTCCGCAGACGCTGCGGTATACACTCGCGCTGTTGTGCACGCGAGCGCTGCGGCGTACACAGGCGCAGTGGGACATATCGCCAACTACATGCTGCTCGCGTCGTCGTCGTCGTCGTCGTCGTCGTCGCTCGTCGCTCGTCGCTCGTCGCGTCGCGCGCGCGGGCGCGGCTGCGGTGCAGGAGCCACACGGCGGGGGAGACGTTCCGTCATACCCCCGTTCGCCCCCCCCCCCCCCCATGACGCCCGTCACCGCCGAACATAAAGAAACGCGTTTCTCCCACCTCTTTCTTGTGTTGTTCCGCGGAGCCAAAGTAAGTCACCTGTATGACGGCCGCGCCACGAACGGCAATATTTCGTGCCGATGCCTGGACGGCCTTGTCAGGAGCGATGGCTTTCCCGCGAGGAGTGAGGACACGGAGTTGGGAAATGAATTTCCCAGAAATCCTACGCATTGAGAAAATCAAGACGGATGTTTTTCGCGGCTTTTGGCTTCTCGGGGCCCTCGCCGGGCCTCGGGACTGTCAACAAAACGACTCAGGATGAAAAAACGGTCCCGGGGATTGGGTCGGGACTTCCGGTGACCTCGTATTGAAACAATCACGACATCCGATCTCTGGGTTTCCAGCCATCAAGGCGAAGGAGCCATTCTCCATTCCGTCCCCAGACCTCCGACGTGTTCATTTTTTATATATACGGGGTCCCCGGAGCTCGGGACGGGACCACTCCCCCATTGCATGGACCAATTCGTCGCCCTGGATCGTTTTGTCCGGACCCCGGGGCCCAAGGAGGGCTCCGGCCGAACCTAGCCAAAAACCTCCCTTTGGCTAGTGATGCTCCAACTTACTTAGCCTGGATCACCAGAGAGAACTTCGAGCACCAAGAAAGTACCGAAGCTGCAGCGTTCTCACGCGTCGGGCCCTGAGGGACGATACTCGTGCGACACCTCGAAACTATTTGGGGGGACGTGGCCCTTCAGTACGATGGGACCAACACAACCTTTGTCTTGCCTTCGCGCCTCTTCCCTCCCTCCCCCTCCTCCCTGCCCCCGCCTCCGCGCAGGCCCTCGCGCGCGCACGCGTGCGCGGCGTGAGCTGGAGCCTCCCCTGGGCGCGCCTCCGCCGAATCCGCCGGAGCTGCGGCCCGCTTCCGCCGAAAGAGCCCCTGCAGAGGCCTGGGGGGTGGCGGCGGCCAGCGTGGGGCGCCAGCTGCTCATTCTTCCTCCGGCTGCTGCTCCTCCTTCTTTCTCCTGCTGCTCCTCCTGCTCCTCCTCCTCCTCCTCCAGCCTCCTCCTCCTCCTCCTCCTCCTCCTCCGCCTCCTCCTCCGCCGCCTCCGCCGCTCCTCCTCCTCCTCCGCCCCCTCCTCCTCCCCTCCTCCTCCTCCTCCTCCTCCTCCTCCTCCTCCTCCTCCTCCGCCTCTCCTCCTTCCTCCCGCTTGCTGCTGGCTGCTGCTGCTGCTGCTGCTGCTGCTGCTGCTCCTCCTCCTCCTCCTCCTCCTCCTCCTCCTCCCTCCTCTTCTCTCCTCCCTCCCTCCCTTCCTCCCTCCTCCTCCCTCCTCGGCCTCCGCACCCCCAGGCGTGTGTTGGCATAGGGCGGCGCGGGCGTTTCGCGTGAGACTCCGTCGCCTCTCGTGATCCTGAAGCCGCGCCCTCCGCGCCGCCCCCGCGGCGTGCGCCCCCGAGAGCCCGTCCTCCCCCGAGATCCCACGCACTGACAAAAGCGATACGGGTTTTGTGTCGTTGTTTTCGGCCCCTCGGGGCCCTCGCCGGGCCTCGGGAGCGTCAGAAAACGCATCGGGATGAGTCACCACCCACCACACCACCCCAACCCAACCCGAAGGCTCAAAGTTACCATCGATTTCCAGTGGGGGGGGGGTCGGGAAACATCGAAAAAACACATGTGGAACCCTTACCCCGCCCAACCCGAAATTCGGGTCTTCGGGTTGGGTTGGGGTGGTCTGGTAGGTCGTCAATGAGAAATCTGCCCGGGGAAAGGGTCGGGACTTCCGGGGGCCCCGCATTGACAAATTCACGACGTCGGATCTCTGGGCCTTCGGCCGCACGCACGCACCCCGACCGCCGATGTCTCGGTTCCCTCCCAGTATCGTGCTGTTTTTGATACATGCTCCGCGTGCGGATCATGTATTAAAAGATGCAGGGATTTAGTATTAACAACAACGATGATTTCATGCCTACATCTATTCGTACAGTAATCATGTCTTAAAGACCCTATATGTTTAAACATCCTATGTATTCAAACAGCTGCCCTGTATATACGGGGGGCCGTGGAGCTCCCCAGGCATGGGCGTTTCGAGCAATCCGATGCGGAATTGTTGTTATCGTTTTCGGCCTCGGGGGGCCTCTTCGCCGGGCCTCGGGACCGTAAAAAAAAACGGCTGAGCCCTGCAAGGCGTATTTCAAAACAGTAGATGCGTTTAGATGCAATCGCGCCCAGGTGCAGGCGAGAAGCCCATCGTATCTGTTTTCTGCAACGGCGACACTATATATAATAACAGCAGTAACAACAATAATAATGATGATGCTAATACTATTGTAATACTTATGCTAATACTAAGCTACACACATGCATACATGCATGCATGCATGCATGCATGCATGCATACATACATACATACATACATAGCTGTATATATACATACATACATATATAGTGTTTTAAAGATGCGCGCCCCCCGGCCTGCGCGGGAGCACCGCCGTATCTAAACGTGCTTGCTGTTCAAGCACATTTGCAAAATTCGGACCGTACCTTTTTTCCTTCCAGGAAACATGTCTATTCGTATCTATCTTCCAGAGAATAAGTGCCGCGCCGTATCTTGTCGTATCTACTTATTGTCAGAACGATCCATGATATTGGTCGAAGCAATGAGCAACGGCATGGGACTGGGGAACCGTAGCGATGAGGAGTGAGGAGACGAGCGACGACGACAAAAACGACGAGGAGCAGGATGGACAACAACGGCGAAACGAAATTTAGGAGAGAACTGGGTCGTGACAGGGAACCGTAGGATGGGGAGAGCAAAGACGAAAGTGAGGAGGAGGAGGAGGAAGAGGAGGAGGAGGAGGAAGAGGAGGAGGAACATGCAGGAGGAGAAGGAGGAGGAGAAGGAGGAGGAGGAGTGATTCGGACGATGAGCGCGGACGAGGAGGACGAGGATAAGGGCGCGGCGACGAGGCAAGAGAAGCGAGGTGGAGTTGGAGGAGGCGTCAGAAGGATAACGTAGAGGAGGGGGAGTCAGGACGGGGATGAAGTCGATCAGCGATGGAAGAAAATGGCTCTTCTGCGTCGTCCTCCTCATCTTCATGATCGTTCGGCTCGCCCGCCGTTCATGATTTCCCAGTTCCCTTCCTCCTCCTCCTCCTTCTCCTCTTCCTCCTCATCATCATTGTCGTCCTGACTGGCATGTGGATTGTCTTCCTTGTTCGTGGTCATTGAGCGGTCTAGGCCTGGCTGTGGAGACATGGCGCCGAATCTATTCGTATCTATGCTTGGTAGACATATTTCCAGCGATGGGTGCCATCGAACCGTATCTCAACATATCCATTCTTACTTCAGACTGACCACGTACTTAAAATTTGGACGAATACGTACCTCTGGGGGAAGGGGGGAGGCCGGACGGAGGGAGGGGCGGGGGTCCGTCGCCGCTGCTGGTGCGGCCTCGCGATCGCTCATGGAGGCCGAGGCCTCGAGGCGGCCGCGCGAGGGAACGCGGCAGCTCAGAACACATCGGCCGGCGGCCGCTCGGCGCGCGCCTCCTGGTGGCCCCGTCCCGGGTAGGCTCAGGTTGGGCATGTCCCCCCAGCAGCCGGATTTTGGACGAGAAGCTCCCAGACACGATCGCGTCGTAAAAAAAAAAAACAGGACGGCCGGTTTCTCGCTATTTTCAGCCCCCGGGGGCCCTCGCCAGGCCTCGGGACCGTCGAAAAACGACTCGGGGCGAAAAACCCGTCCCAGGGAAAGGGTCGGGACTTCTGAGGACTGGTTTTTCCTCCCGAGACGTGTTTTGACGGTCCCGAGACCCGGCGAGGGCCCCGAGAGGCCGAAAAAGACGAACAACCTCCGCCTCGATTTTTTCGAGGCGCCCGACGTCTGGGCCGATGGCGAATCCGCACGTTCCTGGGCGGGTTAGGGCTCTCGGACCCCTATCGTCAATGCATTGGGCGCTTGGGGGGCCATGCGATCCCCCCTGGGCCTATCCTTGGCAGGGCGCAGAGGTGTACGGGGGAGGGGGGGGGAGGCTGTTTCGAAGGAGGCTGCTTCCTAGAAGGCGCCGGCGCCCTGCATCTTCAGACAAGGTCCGCGCCCTCTGAGAAACAGGGGTGCCTCTAAGAACCTACCCCCCTCCCAAGGCCTCCACCTTCCGTACTATCCGCGTGGTTGGTGCGGAAGGTCTGGTTTTGGCGTTCGAATTATTTGAGTTGGCATATAGTGACCGTTTTATGTATTCAGTGCGAACAGATGGCAAGAATGCGAGCAGATGGCAAGAATGCGAACAGATGGCAAAAACAAATGGCAAGAATGCGCATCCAAACGATGAACAGCTCGGTCCGTATCGCTCTCACTGACGCCCGCTCCTGCCATGCGATTTCCAACGCTTGTGGAGACTTTCAGCCCACGTTTTGAATACATTTTCGTATATGCCGACGCTCCGTCGCGTGCTGCTGTCGAAGACAATCTTACTCGAAGGCCGGAGAGCTTCTTGGATTGAAAGGCCAATTCGCGCATCCGAAGCATCGTGACTGTGATTCCAGTCCCCGTCCCACAACTTCATGAATTCGAAGTGCTTGTGTTGCCCGATTTGGCCACCTGGCCCCCAAACAAGTGTCACGCGAGGCACGTAGAAAGAGAAAGCGATGATGCGGCAGTGCAAACTAGTGGAAATCAAAAGCTTGGCTCTGGATATGAGAGCACTTATATCCCAAATGTTGAGCCCTTCGAATACGGTCACATCAATTGAAGAGTCTTTTTGTTCAAACCTGGATTTCATAGCCTCATACGGCATCAGGATATCGTGCTTAGGCGCAGCGCCTGCTCGGAACATGACGATGCTGGCGTTGTTCGCTCTCGCCGCTGCCAAAACAGCATCAACAAATCCATCGTCAAAGTGAACTCCCTTTTTGAACTGCAAAGCGAAATATCTCCCCATGGGTAGGCCGTTTGTGCGAAGTGATATGGTCTCGCCAAACAAAGTGTTGATCATGATCACGCTATCCGGGGCCAGCAGGCAGTCCTCGTAGCCTTCAAGAAGAGAATGTTGGCGGAGCGTGCAGTGGTCAAACCAGCTCTGATTGATGCTTGGGGTGCCTACACCTCCAATTGTGTTAGCGATAAACAAGCCAGGTTTGGCAAACTTGCACTTGGGCAGCACGTAGGCAAGACCACGGCCTCTGTGCATGAAGTCGTCCTCATTGCAAGCTTTGAAACCACGTCCGAACATACCCAGCGCACTCTTGAGCGACAGGTCGCGGAGAATTTCCCCTCCACAGAAAATCACATCGAGAGAGCTATTGTACATGTTGGAGAACAAAGAGCCAACGCCGATGACAAGATGACCGCCATACGCCCGCATGTCGGCGCCTGCAACGTCAGCATGCAAGAAATCGTCGGGACAGAAACCGTAGCGCCTTTGCAGCATCGTTTCAACGATCCACGGCATCAACATATCACCGAAATTGTGCCGACCCATAGCGCCATACAAAAGCACCTTGCGACCATGCGGAATCACTTCAGTACACCCTGAGCTGGTCGACTGGCTCGCGCCATGCAATGCACTCTCACTGGAGCCTGTGCACCCAGCACCTGGGACTCCTTCGCCCTGCATCGATAAAAGCGGACGCGCACTGGCCCGTGAGTCCATGATACTGACTACGAACGAAAAAACAACAACAACAATGAAGAGTAACCACCATGGAACAACGGGGAACAATCTGCTTTCCACCATTTGTCTAATGTTCCAATCGGTTCGTCTGCACAGGTCTGGGGCGTTCGGCAATCGAGCGACGCCAGCCTCTTGGCCCGACATGGCCACTTGAGCCAAACTGGCTACGGAATATTCGGCGTTTCGACATTGGGCGGCAAGGGGGGGGGGGGAGGGGCGTCTGGCTCTGGACGTCTGCTGAGTGCGACTGTTTGCGACCGTGCGGCCTCTGAGGGAGAGGCTCCGCCTGCTCGAAACAAGCGCCAAAAAACAGCCAGGAGCTACTCCATGGGGGAAGGGGGGGGAAGGGGGGGTTGGGGGCCCGCGCCGATCGGCAAAACAATGAATAAAAAACTGTCACCTCGCTTCTTATTGTTCTATCATCCCCAGACATCCGACGTCTCGACTTTTTCGAGACGCGGGCTCCCGACCTCCCGACCACTTCCCCAAGATCGTTCTTTCGTCCTCAGTTGTTTCTTGACGGTCCCGAGGCCCGGCGAGCGCCTCCAGAGGGCGAAAACGACGAACAACCGTCGTCTCGATTTCTTCGAGACGCCCGATGTCTGGGTACGTCGTGCTGTTAGGCTGAGTTTCGTGGCCGACGTCCGTTGCCCCTGGACCCGCCGCACGCAGGAGGGGGCCCCGGGCAGGAGCGACCCCTGCTGCGGGGCCTGCTGGGTGTCCGCGGGAGGGGCCACACGCCGAGCGCGCAGGCTGCGGGTGGGCCCCCCTCGGCCCGCACCAGGCCCAGACCTGCACGGTTCCCCCCAGGGCCGTGGGCGACCCGAAGAGGAGGAGGAGGAGGAGGAGGAGGAGGAGGAGGAGGAGGAGGAGGAGGAGGAGGAGAGGAGAGAGGAGGAGGGAGGATGAGGGAGGAGGAGGAGGGAGGAGGAGGAGGAGGAGGAGGAGGGGGAGGAGGAGGAGATGAGGAGGAGGAGGAGGAGGAATGGAGGAGGAGGAGGAGGAGGGAGGAGGAGGAGGAGGAGGAGGAGGTTGGGAGGAGGAGGACGGGTCGCCTTAGCCCTTCGGAGAAACCCTCCACCCAGACCCCCGCCGTCGTGATGTTTTCACAGCGTCGACCCCCAGAGGTCTGGACCCCGTCCCCCCTGGACCGGCTGTTCATCCTCTGGGTCGTCTTCTGACGGCCCCGAGGCCTGGAAAGGGCCCCCGGAGGCCCTCGCAAGAAACCCAACCCTGAAAATCCGTGCGCGAGGTGCACTGGAGGGGAAACCCCGAGCACCCTGAACGCGGCAACTTCTTCGGCGGCTGCGGGAAGCCATTGCGCAGCGCGCGGAGCGAAGAAACCCAGGATACCCAGGCGAAAAGCACATGGTTCCTTGATGCGCGCCCCCGCTGTAGTGAATTACGCTACCGAGGAACCCCACATACTTATATGGCTGGAGTGATGATAGCTGAAGTGAAGCATGTGAGAATGATGTTGGTGGCCGTTGACCCACCGATACCGTTGGTGACGCCACTCAAGAGGAGAGGTGGAAGAGGAGAAGCGCCGCGCCAGCCACACTTTGCGAGCCCAGTGACCTGGACGACCGGCACGCATAGCGGCCGCGGTGAGGGACCACCCCCTGCGCACCCCGTCTGGCGTCGAGAAAGCGCCACGCTTGCTATGCCCTGGACGACCGTCGTGCATAGTGGCCGCGGTTAGGGACCAACCCCTGCGCACCCTCTATGGTGTCGAGAAAGTGCCACGGCTGCTATGCCCTGGACGACCGTCGTGCATAGTGGCCGCGGTTAGGGACCAACCCCTGCGCACCCTCTATGGTGTCGAGAAAATGCCACGCCTGCTATGCCCTGGACGACCGTCGTGCATAGCGGCCGCGCTCAGGGACCACCTCCTGCGCAGCCCCTGTGGTGTCGAGGAACTGCCACTCCTGCCACGCTGCACGAATCCGAGACGGATAGGGAGACACCCCCCCAACGCACCCCCTGAGATGTCGAGGAAGTGCCAAGCCTGCCACGCTTTGCGAGCCCGAAACGGATAGGAAGACCACCCCCAGCGCACCCCCTGTGGTGTCGAGGAAGTGCAACGCCTGCCACGCTTTGCAAGACCGAAACGGATAGGGAGACCACCCCAGCGCAGCCCCTGTGGTGTCGAGGAAGTGGCACACCTGCCACGCTTTGCGAGACCGGAATGGATAGGGAGACCACTCCAAGCGCACCCCCTGTGGTGTCGAGGTAGTGCCACGCCTGCCGCGCTTTGCGAGCCCGAAACGGATAGGGAGACCCCCCCCGCGCAGCCCCTGTGGTGTCGAGGAACTGCCACGCCTGCCGCGCTTTGCGAGCCCGAAACGGATGGGGCAACCACCCACAGCGCACCCCCTATGGTGTCGAGGAAGTGCCACGCCTGCCACGCTTTGCGAACCCGACACGGATAGGGAGACCACCCCCAGCGCACGCCCTGAGATGTCGAGGAAGTGGCACACCTACCACGCTTGCGAGCCCGAAACGGATAGGGAGACCACCCCCAGCGCAGCCCCTGTGGTGTCAAGGAAGTGCCACGCCTGCCACACTTTGCAAGACCGAAACGAATAGGGAGACCACCCCCAGCGCAGCCCCTGTGGTGTCGAGGAAGTGGCACACCTGCCACACTTTGCAAGACCGAAAAGAATAGGGAGACCACCACCAGCGCAGCCCCTGGGGTGTCGAGGAAGTGGCACACCTGCCACGCTTTGCAAGACCGAAACGGATAGGGAGACCACCCCCAGCGCAGCCCCTGGGGTGTCGAGGAAGTGGCACACCTGCCACGCTTTGCGAGCCCGAAACGGATAGGGAGACCACCCCCGGCGCACCCCCTGACGTGTCGAGGAAGTGCAACGCCTGCCGCGCTTTCCGAGCCCGAAACGGATAGGGAGACCACCCCCAGCGCACCCCCTGAGATGTCGAGGAAGTGCCACGCCTGCCACGCTTTGCGAGCCCCACGCGGATAGGGAGACCACCCCCAGCGCACGCCCTGTGGTGTCGAGGAAGTGCAACGCCTGCCACGCACTGCGAGCCCGAAATGGATAGGGAGACCACCCCCGGCGCACCCCCTGTGGTGTCGAGAAAGTGCCACGTCTGCCACGCCCTGCGAGACTGGCACGCATAGAGGCCGCGCTGAGGGACCACTCCTTGCGCACACCCTTCTGGTAACGAGAAAGTGCCACGCGTGCCGTGCCCTGCGCCATGGCCCGCATAGAGCCTCCTGCCATGCAGTGCGATGGAGGAGGGAAGGAGGGAGGAGGGGAGGTGTGAGGAGACGCGGGTGCGACGCGGCAGGGAAGAAAACCATAACCCCACGAAACATGTGGGGAAGAAAAGGAGGGGAAGAGTGAGGTGTGAGTGTCGCGGGTGCGGCGCGGCAGAGAAGAAAACCATAACCCCACAAAACATGTGGGGAAAAACCTCCCGTCGTGACTTTTTAGCAACGCGAGGGGGTCTGGGAAAGAGGGCGCAGAGCGGACGGACAGACGCAATACAGAGCCGGCCGCCGGTGTCTCGCCGAGGCCGCGGCTCCAGCGGACGAGGAGGAGGAGGAGGATGAGGAAGAGGAGCAGAAGGAGGAGGAGAATGAGGAGGAGGACGACGAGGAGAAGGACGAGGAGGTGGGAGGAGGAGGAGGAGGAAGAGGAGGAAGAGGAGGAGGAGGAGGAGGAGGAGGAGGACGAGGAGGAGGAGGGCAGAGTGGGCCGCTGATCAGGGAAGCTTACGAGGCTGGCATCAGCCACGGATCCCTCCTGCCCTCCTCCCGGCCCCACAGATGGCCGAGCAGGGGCCCGTGCCACTCGTGAGTCTGAGCGAGCAGGCGCCGCTCTGACGGGTCGTGCCGAGCCGTCGTGGCTGCAGGTGGCACCTTCCCACACGCACGCGTCGCCAGATCGCACTGGCTGACGCTTCCCTGATGTTTTTTTAGAGGGAGAAGATGGGAGCGGACCGCATGATTCAAGAACCACCGTCGTAACGCGAATGCCGGTTGCACTTGAAAGCCGTTATTTTCTTCACCAAGCGTGTGGGAACGGACGCACACATTGCAGTAAAGTGTCCGGCCTGCCGGGCTTCCCACTTGAGAGGAGGAGGAGGAGGAGGAGGAGGAGGAGGAGGAGGAGGAGGAGGAGGAGGAGGGGAGGAGGGGAGGAGGAGGAGGAGGAAGGAGGAGGAGGGAGGAGGAGGAGGAGGAGGAGGGGACAAGACGCTTCCCTGATGCATCTCTGGCTCCAGACGCTCCCCTGCGGCAGCGCAAGCGAGACCGACAGAGGGCCCCTTTTGCGTGCAGCCTGCGGAGGGCGCTGTCGTCGGGGAGGCCGGCGAGGGCGCGCGGGCCTCCGGCAGGCCTGCGCCGCGCCCCGCTGCGCCGCGGAGCGGCTCAGCCGGCCGCCGACGTCGTCCAGCTGCCGCTTCTCCTCGGCGAGGGGTCGCGGCGAGGGGTCAAAAGGAGAGGGGAGGCGAGCAGGGGAAGGGGAGAGGATCCAGGAGGAGGAGGAGGACGACGAGGACGACGAGGACGAGACCGAGGAGGCGGAGGACGAGGGGGCGGAGGAGGAGGAACAGGGGACGGGGGGGCGGTTCGGGCGTGGGCGGACGCAGTCGGGACTACCATGGTGGGACCTCCTCCGGAAGAGGAGCATACCGCAGACGGAACTGCCCATGTCTCCGACCCTGTGATGCGCCGAACGCAACGACCGCGTTGTCTATAGAGGCGTCCACCCCGAAGGTGCCTCTACAAGTATGTATGTATTCATTTATTGATTGATTTATTTATTTGCATCTGTATATGCATATATATATATATACACGTACGTAGCGAATGTGTGCGTACGCGGTACGCGCTTGTGCCTAGAAAATGGAAAGCGCTATCTGGCACAGGCCCCAGAGTTTGGGTTTCTCGAAGCTGGTATAAACTTTGCCCTTGAGCATCGTTTGACCGATCCCCATCCCCACCAGCGTGGGCTGGGCCCCACTGGCCGATTTACCCCCCTGGATGGGGACATGGGCTGTTCCCCCCTGGTTTCGAGGGACACACCCCCCATTGAGATGGTGATGCGGTGGGGCTCGAGACGTAGATGGGGATGGGGATGGGGATCGGTGAAACGATGCTGACTTCCTCCTCCCCCCCCTCCTCGCCTCTCGGCTGGTGGGCAGAGCAGGTCGCGGTGACCCCGATGGGGCCTGGGGCCCAGGGGCACAGAAGCTGCCGCCAGCTGCCCCCTCCTCCTTCCATCCCGGCTCCCTGGCTGGCGTTCTGCACGGTGGAATCCCCTTCCTCACAGTGCACAGTGCCAGAACATTGGCGCCCGCGCCTTCCAACTCACCAGCTCACCCCCGTCTGCACTCCGCCGCAGCACGCCCATTACCTAAGCGACGGGCACTTCCTTCCCAGTTCCCCCTTTCCCCACCTCGCTCCCTGTCTCCCGGCCTCGTTCCTCACCTCCCACTCCTCACTCCTCATCCCCTCATCCCTCCTCCCTTCCTCAGTCCACCTCCCCGTCGGGCCCCTCAGCTCTCAGCTCCCTCAGCTTCTCTCCCGGAGCCCCTCAGCCTCCCTAATCCCTCATCCCTCAAGGCCCGAGGCCCCTCGCTCTCTCCTTGGCGCCCGGGTGGAGGCGGCGCAGGAGGCGGCCGGGCTCCGCCCCTGCCTCGCGCAGCGCCTCCTGGAGCCACGCGGCCGGGCGCAGCGTGGCCCGGGCGCCGCACGCCGACCGCCTGCCCAGCCCGTCTCGGGTGGGAAATCAGTATTGATCTTCCTCCTCCTCCTCCTGTTCCTCCTCCTTCATCCTCCTCCTCGTCATTCTCCTCCTCCTCTTCCCCCTCCCCCTCCTCCTCCTCCCGCGTTTTCTCCTCCCCCACATCCTCTTGCCTCCACTTCCTCCTCCCGCTCCTGCTATCCTCCTGACACGCTCGCCGCAGCCGCCGCCGCCACTCGTGCAGGCGAGGCTGCGGCGAGCGAGGCCGCGGTCGTCGCCGTCGCCGTCGTCGTCGTCGTCCTTGTTGTTTGTGCATTTGTGTGTGTGTATATATATATATGTGTATTTGGCTATTTGGCGGTTTATACATATAGTTTCAGTCTATCCGATAGGCTGTCACTGCGATGTTTAACGTTTGCTGCCATGCCTCGCTTCTCGCTTTATTCACCGAGAGCTCGAAACCCTCCAGCTTGAGCAGGAGGGCTTCGAGCTCTCGGACCACGCTGTCCACTTCGCTCGCTCGCGGCTCGCGGAAAAGCGCACCGCCGTCGTCATCGCCGCCGCCGCCGCCGTCATCGCCGCCGTCGCCGGGGAACGCTCCTGCTGCCCTACCCGTCCTGCTGCCTGCTGTCCTGCCCATCCTGCTGCCCTACCCCTCCTGCTGCCCTACCCCTCCTGCTGCCCTACCCCTCCGCTGGCCTGCTCCTTGCCCGTCCTGCTGCACTGCCCCTCCTGCTGCCCTATCCCTCCTGCTGCCCATCCTGTTCCCTTCTGCCCTGCCCCTCCTGCTGCCCTGCCCCTCCTGCTGCCCTACCCCTCCTGCTGCCCTGCCCCTGCCCCCTGCGCCGCCCCTGGCTGCGCCGCCACCGGCCGTCCGGGCAGGCGGCCAGCAGCAGGGCCCCCCGCGGCATTGCCGCGCGAGGCCCGAGGAGAAAAGAGGGAGGGAGGAGGGAGGATGGAGGAGGGGAGGGGCGAGGAAAGAAGGGAGGGGGGAGGGGGGATGGAGGAGAGGAGGGGCGAGGGGGGAGGGAAGCGGGAGGGGGCGGAAGGGGTGGAAGGGGCCAGAGCGCCGCGCGGAGGGGGCGGAGGGCCGCGCGCCGCGCGGAGGGGGGGGCCAGAGCCGGAGGAGGAGGAGAAGGAGGAGGAGGAGGAAAAGGAGAGGGTCGAGAGGGGGGTGGACTGTGGATGGTGGAAGAAAAGGAGCGTCGTAGCTGGTTTCGTCGTCTTCGGCGTCGCCGTCTCCGGCAGCGGCGGCGACAGACCCCCCCCTGGAGCTCAAATGCAAAATTGCATGATGCGCAGACCCCCCCCCTGGAAGTCAAATGAAAATTGCACGATGCGCAGACCCCCCCCCCCCCCCCCCCCCCCCCCCCCCCCCCAAGACCTCAAACGTATCTGTTTTCATGTCTGAACCAAGAGATCTGCATTCCCAAGTCGACCAGAACACCTTTACTACAGGGGCGCAGCTGAAGAGTGCCCAGAACTGGGCTCATGCGAGAGGCTCTCGCTTTCTAGCCAACGACTGCGCGGTCGCAGGGGCGACGGCCACCTCGACACCCTGCGGGGTTGGCATTGCCAGCCTCAGTCATCTAGCCAGCGTCCCCTTCGAACCCAAGGGAAGGTATGTGAAACCAAGGATGTTCTTTCAGCGGACCATGACCGGCAACATGCAGATCTTGTTCGCTTCCTTCGACGGCATCACCAGCGTCGGGCAGCCGGGCAACCTCGACCTCTTGGCCTCTCTGACCCAGGTGCCTCCCAGTTGTCGTGGCAGGAGACTGGAACATTGAATCATAATGTTTCGGTCGTGACACGTTTCTCAGAGCAGGGTTTTGAGTTTCCTGCATGCTGAAATGTTACACTGCAGCAGGCCAACTTGTAACGACACGCATTACGACTACTTGATCCTCAGTCATGTTATGATCCCGTTTGCGAGAGCTGTGGGCATCTTAGAGGGTACCCCTGTGGGCCCCCATAGGGCCGTAGTTGTGCGATTGAGCGGGTTTGGGGGTGCTAACTACATCCACAGCCGAATTCAGCAAAGAAAGTTGTTGCTGCCCACGAAAGGGCAAGCGTTTGTGCCCGGTGACGTTTCGCAATGGCCAGGTCTTGATTTGGAAGAAAACGAATCGCTCGATAGTCTTTCGCGTCGGTGGTTTTCCTCGGCTGAGCCCTACCTGGGTCTCTATCTGGCCATTCCCGTCGCCGAGCGGCCCAGATACTGTGGGCGCGCTCCTGGAGTCAGGCTTGAAGAAGTTCCTCTGACCTGCGAGTGGGGCAAGAGTCGCAGGAGGAAGGCCGGCCCCTCCACCCAGAAATGGCTCCCTGCGCGTCGCCTAGTCATGCAGCGGTTGCGAGCTGACGGCAAAGATTCCGAGCCCCAGCTTGCCCAACAGTCCAGCGCGGTGCGAATGCTCACTGACTATGCGGGGGAGGGCCCCAACTGGGTGGGCGAGGATGGAGTTTCTGTCCATTCGCTTCCGGACTTTTTTAGAAGGCCTCAGGGACCCAGTCAGGAGGCCTCAGGTCTGTAAATGTTTGCAAGATCAGGTGCTGTCGCACACGGCCGCTGACGCGGCCTTCGCCAATCAGAGCTGGAAGGAGAATTCGGAGCTGGCTTTCGTCAGTGATGCCAGCTTTGTCCGCCGCTTTTCGACGGGCCCTAAAGTTCAAGGGGGCCACAGTCGCTGACCTTTCCCAGGGCCTGCCCGTTGTCGGGCATGGAGCTCTGCAAGCGACGCCGACGGATTGGGCGAATTTCTGGTCGATCCAGCCAGAGCCTCTGAGGCCCATCCGCTCGAGTGGAATGTCGATTCAGCTGAGCCGCTGCCTCGGTTCACGGGCAATGACGCGAAGGCAGTGCTCAGCTCATTCAAAGGCAGGACCGCACTCGGATGCGATGGTTTCCATCCTCGGTGCGCGGCAAAACTTCCCTCGAACCTCGTGTCTACCCTCGCGCTTCTCCTCCTGTCGTGGGAGGATAGACCCGAACTCGCCGACGTCTGGGCGACCTTTAACGTGTTCCTTCCTCAGGTCACAGGCGGAGTCCGTCCCATCGGCTTGGCCCCACTCTTTGCACGCATCTGGTCCCGTCTCAGGCACAAGGTAGTTGCTAGCAGAGAAGCGACCCTGCCAGACAGCTTCTTTTGGGGGGCCTCGTCTGAGACTGCGTGTGATAAGTCGGCGTGGATCCATAATGTTTGATCTAGCAGCGCTCCCGATCTTCACTTTGTCAGTACTAGCGCGTTTATATATCCACGTCAGCTTTGTGGAATGGCGCCACATCGAGATCTTCTAAGTGCTGCCAGGGACACAGGTTTGCCCCAGAAGCCCCTGAAGCCTCTGTTCGCTCTGCATAGGGGACCCAGGAGGGCCTCGTGCCAGAACTCCACCTCGGACGTAATTTTCGCCAACGGGACGATCGTCGCAGGGTGCTCGTGTGCCACTGGGCTCGCGAAGCTAATGGCGGTGACGGCCGTCCAGCGCGTCGGGGCGAGCTGCCGCTCGCTCAGCATCAAAAACCTGATCGGCGATGCGAATCCACACTGCGTCGGAGGCCCCGACGCGGTCTCGAGGGGGCCCTCCTGGGCGTTCGAGGAGGCCGCGGGCTTGCTGCAGGCCCGAGGTTTGCCCCTTTCTTGGGACAAGATGGGCTTTCGCTCCGATGACGCGGCAACTTCCAGTGCGATCAAGCACGAGGTGGCCGATGCACGGCCCGCGGGAATCCCTTTCCCTGGGCGAGGTCAGTTCCACCGAGACCTCGGGGGGGACACTTGAGACGGGCGTTGCAGGAGGATCGGCGCGGAACTCGCTCGGACCAGGGGCGCGACGGCCAAGGGGGGCCGGTTGCTGACCTTGCAGGGCCTGTGGGGAACAAATTATCACAGTGCGATCCTACCTAGGAGTTGGAGCATCTGGGAAAAGCAACATCTACATCTACACCGACAGCTACATTAACATCTACACCTGCATCTATATATACATCAACATCAACAGCGAGACTCACATCTACATCTACGTCTACACCTGCTGTGCGGTTGCTTTTGCGTTGCTTTGATTTGCGTTGCGTGTGCCTTGTTTTGCTGGTGGTGCTGTTGCTTTGAATTTGCGTTGATGTTATGATATGATATGATCTGATATGATATGCCATGATGCGCTATGCTATGCTATGCTATGATATGCAAGGCTAGGCTATGCTGCGCTATGCTGCGCTATGCCTCTGTGGTATGCTATACTATGCTAGGCGATGCTAGACTGCGCTACGTTATGCTAGGCTATGTTATGCTATGATATACTGCGCTATGCTATGTTATGGTATGATATGATATGCTGCGCTATGGTATGCTATGATATACGATGCTGCGCTATGCTATGCTATGCTAGGCTATGATATGACATGACGTGCTGCGCTATGTTATGCTGTGATATGCCATGCTATCTTGCGCTAGGCTATGCTATGCTATGCTATGCTCCGCTGTTCTATGATATGACATGCGATGCTGCGCTATGCTATGCTATGCTAGGCTATGATATGCTGCGCTGTGCTATGCTCAGCTATGATATGCTATGTTATGATATGTTATGCTGCGCTATGCTAAGCTATGATGTGCTATGCTATGTTGCGCTATTCTATGATGTGTTATGCTATGCTGTGTTATGATATGATATACTATGCCATGCTATGCTATGCTAATGCTGCGCTGCGCTAGGCTAAGCTAAACTGAGCTAAGCTAAGCTAAGCTAGGCTATGTTAACCTAAGCTAAGCTAAGCTAAGCTAAGCTAGGCTAGGCTAAGCTAAGCTAAGCTAAGCTAGGCTAAGCTAAGATGAAATAGGCAACGCTAAGCTAAGGGGACGTAACTAGGGGAACCGCGGGGCGGATACTGCGGGAACCGCCCGGGGCGAGTTGCACTGCCCGGCCCTTTAAGCATACCGAGTAAGAACCCTTGTAGGCAGAGCCTAGGTAGGGAAACACGTTCAGCTGTACATCGAGCTGGCGTGCCATCGAAGGCCCTGCGAGGCGATCCACCGCGGGCGTTCCCAACAGCAGGGTACAGCAGCTCAGGGTGGCCTTCTCTCAACGCGGGGTCTCGGTTCAAGCCTGGATCCTCGGCGGGCCTTTCCCGCGCGTGCGCTGAAAGCGGGTGGCAGGGCGACCCGCTGCTCATCGCCACGGCTGACGCAGTCAACACCTACCTTGTCGCCCTGGCGTCTCGGGCGATCAACGCAGCGATGGTCGCCGCGTTGATGGGTGGAGCGGCGACGCTGCTCGATGGCCCCCGAGCGTGGCTGAAGTGTAAGAACCCGATTGCGGCTCTCATGCTGTCTGCATCGGATATGCTGGAAGTTGCTGGACCCCGTGACCATAGAGGACGATGAGGGCACGTCTTTGGATCTCACTTTCCACTCGGCCAGTTGGATGGCCCACACTGTCAAGCTCGGTGTGAGAAGGCAGATCGAACGAGATGCTCTTGTGCTGCTTCAAGGCGCAGGTACGACCACGGTGGGCCTGCTGGCTTGGCGGCCTGTTCTCGAATGTTTGCACGGCAAGCGGCTGACGCCGCATGAGAGGAGGTCGTTGCGAGGGGTGGTCACGGGCGCCCACTGGACGCAGATCCGTATAGCCCGGGCCTTTGCAGGAGAGTCACACCTCTGCATGCGATGCCAGGATGCCCCTGGTACGCTGTTTCATCGCTTCTTCGTCTGTGATGCTTTTGCGGCCCAGAGTCAATTGCTGACCCCCGATGAAGCCCAGAGAGCGGCTATTCGGATGATGAGGGGCCCGAGGACCGCCAAGACACTTTCGCTCGAGGGCTGCTACCCCATGCAGGCCAAACGTTTCACGGTGGAGCCAGGAGTCAGGACCATGACATCATCGATGTAGACCGCCATGGTTTGGTCTCAGTGCAAGATGGGTGTGTTTTTGTGAACGCCAGCGCCGTCACGGCCCAAGTGCCTGAGTTGTAGGCGGCGGGCTGGGCGGTGTCGGTCTCCAACTCGGAGAGACAGCGTGTCTCTCGGTATCATGGCGCTTACCCTCGTGCTGACAGGCCCAGGTCAAGTTGCCCCAGATGGGGGAGACTACGCGCTGATGGTGACGGCGCAACTGGTGCTCGGCTCGCATCATGTCAAGTCTGATTGCAAGGGCTCGGCTGGCTGTTGCCACAGGCTACGACCGGCTTGTGGGCCAGGCAACTTCCGGGCCCACATGTGGAAGAGAGCTGTCCTGAATGATGACTTCTGCCGTGCTACCTTCAGCCGCGTGAGTGCGCACGCGTCTATGGCAGAAGTCAGGGAAGGCATCATAAGCGAATTTGATCGTAGCTACAACGCTGAGGTTGATGAACTGGCCAAGGCGGGGGTGAGATTCCATGCTGCTAGCGACGATCAGGAAAGGTTTGTCCGAGGAGCTTGCCGCCTACACAAGATGGTGTTCACATACACCGCCGAGTTCGAGGTGTGACTTCCGTGATCACATCTTCCTGAAGCCGAGGAGGATGCAGTGGTGTCTCCTGTGCAGGATGCAGCAGTCAGGGAGGCGTTTTTTCCCCTGGCCATGGCCGGCTCATGGGTATGCGCTGCTGGAATGTTCTGTTGACGGTCAGACACGCTCGATCGCAGCCTCAAAATCATCGTGGTCTAGACCTCCGATGCCGTGGCCGTCTGGGAGGCAGCGGCCGAGTGCACGAGAACACGCGCCGTTTCCAGAGCTCAAGGCGCCCGCAGAGCCTGCACAAGCAGGTTCGGCTTCTTCGTGCGCGCAGGCCATCTGCAGTTGTGGGAAGGAATGTGTGCAAATCCAGGGGTTGGCGGGACCCACTGAGAGAGGACGTGTTCATCAGTCGCCCCAAAGGGAAGATCAGAGCCGAACCGTAGAGATATCTCGACACAGCGTGTATCCTGGCGGACCATGGCCTAACATACCCCAGGTGCTTGGCGTTTGGGGCTCCTCGAGACGATGGAAGAGATGATGAAGATGACCTGGATATGGTGAGCGTCCTGTCTTCTACCAGTGGTTCGTGGTGTTGGATCCCCGTTGGTAAAGACGCTCTACTGAACTCGTTCAGCTTTCAGATCCTGTTTTAGGCAGTTTCACGCCGCCGAGGTGGCTACGACCTTCCTGGGCCCTTGGTGATGCAGGTTGCTGGCCCTTGGGTACCCAGTGCGTTGGTTGGGCTAGCCTCGTTTCGCCACGGTGCGGCTCGAGCGCCGTCGTCGTGGGCCACATTGACTTGCTGGTGCTGGGCCAGCTCAGTGGTGACGGCGCTGGGTGCGCGGCACTTCGGCAACGCCCAGCTCGCGCTGTGCCCCCTCGTGGTCGGCCCCCTTGTGCCGCTGCTGGGGACCGTCCCCGTCCTGCGGGCCCCGCTCTTCGGGGACATGCATGTGAGCACGGGGCTGGCGCAGGCCCCGTGCTTCCGTCGGCGCCTGCGTGGCGCCGTGCCGCTGCTGAGGGTTTGACGGTCCACCCCCCTCTTCTCGGGCTACCACCCAAGGACGACTTCGGGTCCCCTGGGCGGTGGCCTGAGCGGGGGGTAAGGTGGTGCCGTCGAGCCCCTCGGGCCGCTGTCGGCCCCGTACCGCTCGCCTCTCGGCTTCTGCTCGCTCGCTCGCTCGCGCCTCCTCTTCCTCCTCCTCCTCCCAAACCTCCTCCTCCTCCCCAACCTCCTCCTCGCCAACCTCCTCCTCCTCCTCCTCCTCCTCCTCCTCCTCCTCCTCCTCCTCCTCTTCCTCTTCCTCCCTAGGAGCTCAGTCTCTTTACTTGCGACAGCGCCCGCCAGCGACCCCGCCCCCCGCCCCCTCTCCTCCTCCTTCCCTTGTGGCGGCGCGCAGAGGAGCGGGGGTAGGGTGAGGGGGGGGGTTCTTAGAAGGAGGCTGCTTCTTAGAAGGCGTCGGCCTTACATGTATAGCGCGCCTTCTAAGAAGCAGCCTCCTTCTAAGCAATCGCCCTCCTCCCCCTACCCCCCGCTGCGCGTGGCCGACCTTCTCCCCTTCATCACGTCACGATTCTCGCCAGCCCCGTCTGGGAATTAACCATTCTTCAACATTCCCAGACGGCGCTGCCGCGAATCGTGACGTTCCCGGGGCTTACCCCCCTCCCCCTCAGGTCACGCCCGTTGTCGCCAGGGGATGAAATGTGCTTCCAAAGGACCCGACCCTTTTCCACAAGCTGGTGCTCCATGTTCTGAACCTTTTGTTTGGGCGGCCCTATGGACCTGTGAAGGCCACCCGGAAGGCTGAGCATTGGCAAAGCTCCCCCGTCGTGTTTCCTCTTCGCGGAGGCAGAGATGTCGGGGGGCCTTGTTCAGGTAAAGCAGCACGGTGAGAACGCGGCCGTCCACCCGCCCATCTCCGTCGGCGTTGTCGATGTGCGGGCCATCGTAAGGGAACCAACCGCGGCGTACATATAAATTGTCGGAGCTCCGCGCGGAGATCTCGGATCGGTGCTGGGCGCCCTCCCTGGCCAGCGGACCGCGTCCGTGGCGGCGCCAGGGGCGGCGCCAGGGGCGGCGCCAGGGTCGCCGCCAGGAGGGGCCCAGCGCAGACCCGAGAGACCCCCGCGGACCTCCGAACATTCAGGTCTGTGCCGTTCTTGGTTCCTCGACATAACGATGATCCTCAGCACGCGTGTTCACGCGAACGTGTGCTTGTCCACCAAAGCCCTTCACTACTACGCAGGCGGTGTGAGGAGAGTTGGCACAGGCTGCGCGATATCGGTGGAGTCGAGCAGTGTACAGTCGGACCTAGGACAGAAGAACACCCTTCAAGAACATGAGACCCTCCGCCGGCCAACACAAACATAACATCCACGGGTAACCTCCCCAGGGTGCGCCAGAACATCCAACAAGCACGAAGAACACTAGGGTACCACCCCGAATTGACTTCGATCTAATACCTCGGTCCGACTGTAAACGCACATTAGGCCGTTCTTCAAATTCGGCAGCGCCTGCGGACGCAGAGGCGCGTACAGTAATGACCAACGAGATGCCCAGCGAGATCCTCCTCCTCCAACTTCTCCTCCTCCTCCTCCCCAGGAAGAGGAGGAGGACGAGGAGGAGGAGCAGGAGGAGGAGGGTTTAGAGGCCTCACAGATGCGGCGGTCGGAGGATCGCGCCGCATCGCCGATGCATCGGCGATGCATCGTCGATGCATCGCCGAGGCACTGGCGACGTCGGCGACGCATCGGCGACGTCGGCGTGGAGGACTCGGGGCTCCGCATCTGGCCGCATCGCCGGTGCATCGGCGGTGTGCGGCGCGGCCCTCCGACCCCACCTGCCCGGACCCCACCTCGGAGGCCTGAGACTCGAGGACGGACAGAACCCCCGTTGGTAACACGCGGTTTCGTGAAAACGGCCTGGCGGGCGCAGACCTGGACATCGACGGCCGCGGCGCCCTCTCGAGAACCGGAAACGGACCATTCACTGATCGACGTGCCAGGGTGGTGTGTGTGTGTGTCCATCCCCGATGGCCGCGGTGGGCTGACCCCTACGCAAGGGCTCCCAACTTCGCGCTTCGCGCTGCGCGAAGCGCGAATAACTTCGCGCTCTCGCGCCGCCCTCCCAAAGGGAGAAAAGGAGGACGAGGAGGAGGGGGAGGAGAAACGAGGACCGCGAAGCGCGAAGCGCGAATAACTTCGCGCCCTCGAGGGAGCCCTTGCCTACGCCCCGAGGATCATCGGCCATAGCCCTCCCGCCCGCCCTCGTAGCACGCGAGCATGGCGTCGCCGCGCTCCGTGAGGCGGAGGCCGAGGCCGCCCTGCTGCAGCCGCCTGCGCCGGGGGGGCGCCCCGCGGCGCGCGCCACGGCGGGCCCCGGCCGGGGGCCAGCCCTGGCCCGGGGAGCGGGGCATGCGGGCATCGTGCTGCCGTGCGGAACGCAGGAGAAGAGGACGAGGAAGAGGAGGAGGAAGAAGAAGAAGAGGAAGAAGAAGAATAAGAAGAAGAGGACGAGGAAGAGGAGGAGGAGGAAGAAGAAGAGGAGGAAGAAGAAGAAGAAGAATAAGAAGAAGAGGGCGAGGAAGAGGAAGAGGAGCAATCATAACAACAATCACAATCATACCAAGAAGAAAAATCATACCAATCGAAAGAAGAGCAAGAAGAGGCCATGACGAGCGCAACGTCGGGCGAGGCCGCATCGAGACTCCCTGAGATGCCGCGGCTCTGGGGAGACATCTCGGGCGCAGCGGCCTCCTCGGAGCGCCACGGAGGAGCGCTCTGAGAGCGCTGCGGGACGCTCTGGAGCGGGTTTGCTCCCCGCCCTGGCCCCGTCCGGCAGCAGAAGGAACGCCGGGGCTCTTTCTGCCACGGCAAGCCTCGGCCACGCGCGGGCTGTGCGACCTGGAGCCGAGGAGCGGCCCAGAAGCCCGAGCCCCTCTGGAGCCCCGGCTGGTCCTGCTCTCGGCGTCTTGGCTGTGCGCCCTGCTGGCCTGGCGAAGCAGGCATGCGCGCCCATCCTAATCTCCTCCCCGTGTGGGAGGCTGGTGATGGAGATTGCCGGCTCTCCAGCTGATGGGAAGGTGACGCCACCATGCTAGAACAGGCTGAGGAGGAAGAGGAGGAGGAGGAGGAGGAGGAGGAGGAGGAGGAGGAGGTGGGGGTGGGGGAGGGGGAGGGGGAGGAGAGAGAGAGAGAGAGATATGGAGGGAGAGATGGAAAGGGAGATGGTGAGGAGAGGGAGGGGCGAGAAGCGAGATGCCCGATGCGGCCGAATGGCGACTGGCACGAGACACGACAGGCGTATCAATCCTGGGCCCAGGACTGGCCTGGCCAGGACTCCTGCCCTGACCCGCGACGTCTTGATTTTTTCACAACGTCGACCCTGGAGAGCTCGACCCACTCCCCAGGACCAGTTTGTCACCGAGTCGTTTTTTGACGGTCGCGAGGGTC